CCTTTGCCCTTCTCCATTTTGGAGGTGGGGGGCACGATTTAAGAGGGGGGGAGAGACCCCCCACTGCCTGCCCCCTTAGCAAGCCTGCCTCTGCTCTCTCCCCCCCCCCTGGAGGGGGGGCCTAGGAAGGGGGGGGCTAGGAAGGGGAGGGGGGGCAAAAAAAGGGGAGCCCCCCCACTCAACCCCCACCCCAGGCCTTTTGGGTGGGTGGGGGGGATAAAAAGCACCCCCTGGAGGAGGAAAGGGGTCAGTTGGGGGGGTGCAAAGGGGGGGCTAGCCTAATCCCCCCTCCCCATATGGACACCCCTTATCTCCCTATTGGGGAGGGGGGGCTACAGGTCCCCTCTTCAGCCTGGGGGGGGGCAATAGAGAGGGGTCCCTATTTGGGGAGGGGGCTCCAGCTATTATGGGGGGGGTCTATATTAGGTTGTGTTTAACCACTGATTTTTTTTGGGGGGGGTCTTTCCAGGGTCTGCTGGGGCAAAGGAAGGGGGGAGCTGTCCTGCTCCTAAGGGGCGGGGCTTAGGGGCTGGGGGCTCCCTGGGGGCGGGGCTTCCGCCCCAGGAGGCGGGGCTTGAGCGGCGAGGCTCAGGGAGAGCCTCTCTGGGGAGGCGCTGCTCCCCTTTTTCGGGGGGGGGGGGTGGAAAGGGGGGGGGGGGGGGGGGGGGGGGGCTCTACGCCGGGGGGGGGGGCAGGAGGGAGGGGGGAGCGTGCGCCGCTTCGCCCCCCACCCAGCGGCACAAGACCGGAAGTCGGAGCTGGGGGACGAGCGAGTGTGTGAGGGAGCGGGCGAAGGAAACAGCCCGGCCGGAAGTTGCCCGCCTTTCCTCCTCCCCCTCCCCACCGTCACGCGCCCACCTCCTCGCCCTCCTTTCGACCTATCGCCGCTCGAGGACGGCGGTGAGTGACAGGCGACCTCCTGGCGGGCCAATGAGGGAGAAGAGGGGCGGGGGGGAGAAAAAGGGGAGGGATCTCAAATTCCACTCCGAGAAGGACGTAGACTTAGGAAACGTGAAGAGGAGCAACCTTCCTTATCGGAAGCTCGTTGCCGGGTTCCTTTACACCTTGTTAAAACTTTTAGAATCAAGATTTAATCCTTAGACCCCACTTTATATCCCAAATATATCACTGCCTTGCAGGTTGACAGGCGGCCATCCACAGAGGAAGATAATATAGTGGCGACACCAATAGTGAAACCCATCCCTAAGCTAGTCTACAAACATGCATGGGGTGTATCTTCATATTTCGTAGCTCTATGGAACTCCTCCGCTTCCCTCCCCCCCACGCATGCGCCTTAGGCTCCATCTTTCTCGCTTTTCTCCCCTTTTTGCTGTCGCCTCCGCCTGCACTCCAGAGCTCGGCCTCCCCGACGCCGCGCATGCGCCGTCCCGTCCTTTGTGGGCCACCTGTTATTCCGCCATAAGAACCCCACTTTCGAATTGCCCTGCTTTCTGATCAAGGGCTGAACTTCTGCCACCCACTTCTTCCCCCTGTGCTGGTTAGAGGGAACCGTCCGTTTAGGAATTAAAGAGCTGTTTCCCCCTTAAAAGGATGGCATTGTGGGAAATGTAGTTTCTGTGTCACGTGGTCCCACCTGTGCTTCCGATTGGCCCCTGGGCCAGGCTTCTGATTGGCTGAGACCAGCGGGGTTTTTTAATGAATGAATTGCAACGCTCCCGCGTGGGAAGAAGCTGCCTCCTTTGTGAATGGGGACCGAAGAACGAAACACACAGATTTAAGATACTTAAATGTGAGACAATGTGTGCAAAGTGAGATGATTAAACTGGAATACTGTATGTCAGAAAACAATATAGCAGATCATTTTACAAAGGCCCAAGGCTCTATAAAGCATAAGGCGAGCTGTGAAGATTATGGACTTAGAATGTAAGGTTGTATATATTGTCTTACCCAAAAGGGGAGAGAATGTTAGGAATATAAGTCACCTAACAGGTATTTGGGTTAGAAATATATAAACCAGGATAAACATTTTAGCACTATGTCTTTAAGAGATTGCAAAAACTGCAATTGGGTGTGGTTTTTCAAACAGTCATAAGATGGAGCCAGAAACCTGGATTGTCTTAGTCTTAGTCTTAGTCTCAGAAGAGAGCGTGAGTGTATCTCTGTTTCCTTCTGTTGGAAAATATTGCCATTGCTCCATTTCTTCTAATTGACTGATATTACTGGATTTAATGTAAGTCTGATGCTGAACTGTTTTTGACACCGGGATTTGATATTTGGATTATCCCTGGATTGAAAACTGACTGATTTTACCTGTGAATGACTTTGGATTGCTTATTTTGGACTTTGCTTAAACCTTTCTGGAAGTAAAAACCTACATTTACTGTACAGTGTATCTGTGTGCTGTGTTTGTGTATTATTCAAACACTTCTCTCAAATACGTCTCCCTGTATGCGCTCATTCTCCTAACGGGGAATTACCTCAACAGCAACCAGGCCAAGAACACTTCACGCTTTCGACAAGCAATCCTGTTTTAGGAGCGACAGTGTTCCAGCCCGTTTTTGCTCCCAGGAGGCAAAAAACAGAGCATTGGGGGTGGGGAGACAGCATACACAAACCACCACCCCTCCCACGTACCCTTTTTTGCCTCCTGGGCCTTGGAAGCAGCCTGGGCGAAGCAGTAAAACAGGGAGGGGAATCCTGGAACAGCTGATCGTTGGAACAGCTGATCGTTGGGAGAAAAGAAAGAAAGAAATCCACAATAAGGCTGGTTTTGGGTGAAAAATATATGAAATTCCTGGGGGGAAAAAACAATTTCAAAATATTTCCAGAAGGGGTTTACTATGCCCTTTTAATTCCGGCCAAAACAAAGTATCTCGTGACGATTTGAAGGCTCACAAAATTATGATGCCTTCAAAGAACATTGTCAGAATGTTCTTTGAAATGGTCAGGAGACAATTATTACTTAAAAATTGCAGCCACAAATATCTATCCTAGCTTTTTATTTTTGTTTGTCTTTTCAGCGTCCAAAAATACTGCAGTTTCCATACACCAGGGAAATAAATCTTCTCGAAGGGACTAAAGTAATGCAATTGAGAGGAAATGAAATCCAAAAGATCATTTAATTATCCCTTTTCCTCAGATGCAGAACGGCATCCTCCTTTAAAAAAACAACAACAACAGGACATTGGAAATGTATTTTGAAAAAAGCAAATGACATTTTCCCCTCTTTTTTTTTCAAGCTGCATTCGGGTGAACTCACCTTGCTTTTTTTCCAGCGCTCAGATCCTAACATGATTTGATTTTACACTCTTTGTTGCTCATAGCCAAATTAAGTTTTAAATTAAGACAAATTCCTTGTGTGTTCCAATCACACTTGGCCAATAAAGAATTCTATTTTAAGTGTGTGAGATGGTGGATTTGGGACTTCCCTTCCAGATTTGTCGTATTTTTGAAATGAACAGAATAATGGAGTTGGAAGGGAGACCTCCGAGGTCTTCTAGTCCAACCCACTGCTAAAGCAGGAGGCCCTATCCCAAACTCTGCTTAAAAGCCACCAGTGATGAAGCAGCCACAACTTCTGGAGGCCGTTCCACTGATGATTTGTTCTCACTGTTAGGATGATATGTTGGGTTTAAAGGAGAGAAAGAATTAACCAATCAGGGGAATTAGGTGCATCACACCGAGGAGGGATATTTTTTTAGGAAGCCCAGAAGGCACTGCCATGAAACGGGAGGGAGGGAAAGATGGACACGCAAAGCTGTGAATGTTAGAAAACAACATCCAACACACAGGTAATCCTCCACTTATAACCACAGTGGAGCTCCAAATTTCTGGTGCCTAAGTGAGACATTTGGTTTCAGACATTTTGTTGAAACGACATTTTAACGACCTGTCTTGCCATGCGGTCATTAACGCGAATTCAGATTTTCCCCGTCAGAAGGTCGCAAAAGGGGATTTACCCCCGGGGACGATGCGACTGTCGTAAATACGAATCAGCTCCAAAAATGTCCGAATTTGGATCGCGTGGCCATGGGGGAATGCTGCAATGGACGTAAGCATGAAAAAAAAACGGTCTCAAGTCCCTTTTTTCAGTGCCGTGGTAACTTTGGTCACTAAACGAACTGTTGTACGTCAAGGACTACCTGTATATGTTGTAATTTACAGTCCCCTGTGACCCTGTTTTCCCCCCTCCCCGCTGGATGTGTCATAAATCAGATTCTCCAATTAAATATATTCCTGGGCAAAAGCTCTGGTAGTTTAGTTGCAACCTTTTAAAGAGAAGAGTTGGACTTTCACTTTCCAACTGCTGCACCGCCCTTCCAGATTTCCTCCCCCCACCCCCTTTTTTATGGCAACTACTAAAACGGGCCTAGGAATGTTTTGTGAGTTGACAGTAGACACGTTTTCCCACCCTCCCTTCTTTGAAATCTACCGTCCGCCATTTTAGTTCCTCCGATTCAAACCGGTTCGGTTTGGCAAAGCAGCAACCGGGACTTCGGAGCATGTGCAGAGTGCCGCACCCCCCCGCCACGAAGGCTCAATGAGATGCGGGGGGGCTTTCAAAGCTTCACATACAAGAACAAGACCCTCTGTGACCTTGGAACTTCACGTCAACCAAAAACAAACCTATACATTCTGTTTATTGTAAAATCTGCAGCTCCCGGGAAGCCGCAGGATTGTGTGTGTGCGACCATCACAAGAGTTGTGTACAGTCCAGGCCTCCCCTTGTGACAGCCAGCTCGACCACAGAAAGTTCCAAATTCTCCAACGTCCCCAGAAAAGATGAGGAGGTGGCCCGTAAAAGTGACGGAGCATAAGCCAGCTTCTCCAGAACATCCCATCATGCAGGTAGAGTAGAAGGCCTCTTCCGGGTCATCCTCTCCTGATCTACCCAACCTTAGGACCTGGGGTGGTGAAGAAGTGAAAGGAAACGGGGGCAGGGGAGCAAGGATAGTCCCCTGAGGTCCATCCGTGGTGCCCTCAACTCAAAGCCAATGGGTTCTTTGAAGACGGTCTCGGGTGCCTCAGCTAAGAAGGTGGATCTCCTTGAAGGAAACAGGAGGAAGTGTCTTCTCCATCTTCTCATCATCCTCGGGTACTGCTGACCCGTTCGCCCATCAACCAGTATGTCCGGAGTTTCCCCTTGCCCTGTGATGAAGGAATGAAGGTCTATCGGAGTCCAGGGTGCCTCCAGAGCCATCAGCCACCCAGTGACTCAAGAACCCAGATGCAGGGGAGGACCTTCAACCCAACACACTGTCCTCCTCACCTTCATCTCTATGTCTCCTCGGAGGTCCAGTTCGAAGCACCCAAACTCTTCAAGGATGGTTTTGGTGGCCGCCGATAAGTGGATCTTCAATGCTGGAATGACCAGAGGAAGTTGCATTAGAGAACATCTGTACAGAACATCTGGATTAGAAGGACTGAACCGGAGAAAGGGAGCAGAGATGGAGACTAGGAGGCCATCCCAACAAGATGTGAGAAGTTGAAGTCCTGAAGGATCCCTCTTGTGCTACATGGATGCAACCACGAAGGAGGTGGCCTCAACTGGTTCTTCTCGAAATGTTCTCGCTTCACATTGTAGAAGTACCTTGCTTCAACAGGCTCAACCAAGTAGCCTTGAAGTCTTCTCCTAGGTCAGTTATTCTACCATCTCCTTAACTACCTACAAGCATCCAGCTGGTGCGGGACAGTCCAAACATCTGTACCTCACACCTGCCTTCTTCTCCCAAACCACTTACCTTCACCGTTGGACTCCATGCGCGAAGCTGTGTTGACCGTGTCTCCAAAGAGACAATAACGAGGCATCTTCAAGCCTACGACTCCTGCGCAGACGGGACCTTGAGGGAGAAAATGCGATGGGTCAGCAGGGACAATCAAACCCTGATTGGTGGCTCTTTCTCCTTTTCTCCTCCCTTCCCCGAGAATCCTAGAACGTGTTTTGGAGAAACCCCCATTCCAAGTCACGTCCCCAAGGTCTCCTTTGCCAGTGGAGGAGAAATCACAACACGCAAACCATGGTTCCCGGCCATTTCATGGTCCACCTGCATGGTTTGTCAAAGCTCATCCACATTTGGACCCCGCAAGGAACCGGGTTAACATCCTGGCCGTGTAAATCAGATCTACTGACTTCTGAAGCGCCATAATTGCACCATCTACCTTCCGGTCTCTTACACACTCCTTTGCACACCCACCCCTGTGTTTGTGACACACGCTCAAAGGATCTCCTCACCGCTATGGATGCCAATCCGCAGCTTGAGCTGCTGCTCAGGCCGGTGGTGTATTTTGAAGTTGCGCACGGCTTCCAGGAGTGCCAGGGACATGCGGGAAATCTCGCGGGCGTGCAACCGGCCGTTGCGAACTGGTAACCCTGACACCACCATGTACGCGTCTCCGATTGTCTCCACCTCGACGAAGACCAAAGAGCAACAGTTCTTAGCCTTGGTGGGGTCTTTAAGGTTTGTGGACTTCAACGCCCAGAATTCTAGAGTTGTGGGAGTTGAACTCCGCAGTTGGACCTGGGGAATTCTGGGGAGTTGAACTCCACACTTCTTAAAGATGTTCATAACAGGGCCAAAAGGAATATTATTATTATTATTTTTAAGTTCTTATATTTATTGGTGAGTACATCAACCAGAAGGTATGATGACCGTCAACCATCAATAGAAAAGACAGATGGACACACAGACATGATGGATGGATGGAGAGAGAGAGAGATGAGGAAGAGAGGGAGATGATAGAAGGAAGGAGATAATAGATAAGATAGACAGGATGGATGGAGATTG